ATAAAATAAAATAAAATAAAATAAAATAAAATAAAATAAAATAAAATAAAAAATAAAATAAAATAAAATAAAGTTCACTATGACGGCCCTTTGGTGGCCCAGATGTTTCCCAGACGTGATCCATGCCTGGGCCAGCACCACATAAACCAAGCCACAGTCAGGCCAGTTGTGCAATACCATCATATAAACAATGACATCACTGCCAGACCTGGTCCACATCTGGTTAGCAAACCACATACCATGCCAGTCAGCCGTGCATTGCCAACCTGACACCAGATCTGGCCCACACCTGTCTGCTATGTGGGATGTTGGGCAATGTACAAGTAAACACTGACCTTTATCAACACAAGATGATTTTAGTTCAAACCTGCAGCATTAAAGTTGGCAGCTGATATAATTACCAACGATTATTCTAATATTAAGGTTCAAATTTTGTTTTTGTTTTTTTTCCTTTGCAGTTCTCCAGTTTGGCTTCACCACCATCTTTGTAGCAGCTTTCCCACTGGCTCCCCTCCTCGCTCTGCTCAACAACATCATTGAGATCCGCCTGGACGCCTACAAGTTTGTCACTCAGTGGAGGAGGCCCATGCCAGCTCGAGCGACAGATATAGGTTTTGTTTTTTTGCTTTGTGTAACGTTTTACCGTTTGTGCTATTTTCAGATCAGAGACACCCTGCTCTCCTCCCAGCTTGCTCTCGTCCACCTGTGATCTGAATTTATAAATGGGAATAATGTGTCATCCCTCTTTTATAAAAACACAGGAACAAAAAAACCCTGTTCATCCTCTGCACCTGCTCCTCTTTCACCCTGCTACATTTTCTGACCTGAAACGTTCTCAGAGTTTTGAGGCTGAGACTGATTTCTGGGTCAGTGACATTAGGACGGGGGAGAATAATTAAAATAAAGCAAAATTAGAGAAATGAGAAGAGTCTTAGTGAAAGGTTGTGGTAGCAAGAAACAGTTCATCCTATGGAGATGTCCTTCTGTGTTGCCATATGTTGCTCCTCTCGTGCCATCAGCCATCTTCCCTAGCTTATAATAAAAAAAACACTTTATGTTTGCTTTCAGTGATTATTTGTCTACACAGCTGCTTGTGTGACTTTCTGCCTAATAATTGTTCCCATAATATTATATTTAATAAGCTGCTGAAATTTTAGGTTTCAGTACTTTTCTCTTTTCCTTCTCTGTAGTTTTATTTGTTTATTTCTTACAATGAATTAAAAGAGCATTCTTTTCCACAGGTATCTGGCATGGGATTCTTGAAGGTATTGGTGTTCTGGCAGTCATAACCAATGCCTTCGTCATCGCTATAACCTCAGACTACATCCCCCGCTTTGTTTACGCCTTCAAATACGGCCCGTGTATGGACAAAGGCCAGCACCACGCAGACGAGTGAGTATGGTCGAAAGCGTTCACATTAAATAGAAGCTGGTGCAGCTCGTGTCACGGCGGGGTAACGTGTCCCTCAGGTGCCTGCAGGGCTACATGAACAGCAGCCTGTCTGTGTTCGACATGTGGGAGCTGAAGAACAGCAGCGTGTTCAGATACTGCAGGTACAGAGACTACAGAGCGCCGCCGTGGAGCCCGGTGCCCTACGAGTTCACCCTGCAGTTCTGGCACGTCTTGGCCGCCAGGCTCGCGTTCATCATCGTCTTCGAGGTCTGTCGCCTTCTCTTTTGTGTGTTTTTAGAAAGCAAGCAGCACAAATGTAACACCCCTCCCCTCTCCCAACAGTGTGTGACTTTTAATCAGCTTTAATATTTTTAGCTGCTTTAGATGGTTTTATGTGTTGTGATTACGATGAAGCCTCAGAGCCCGACTTTAGGTGACTTTCATGGTTTAATTAAATTATGTGTGAAACAGATTAAAACATTTCTGCTGAGAAACGGGTGCTACAGTCATGGTTCATGTTTACTCGCTCTTTAAAAGGGGATACTTCAGGGGTTTGGTTGAATGGATTATTTATTAGTCAGCATCTTATCTGCAGTAAAAGGGATTCAAGCAAACAACACAAGGCTCTAAAACAATGTGTTCTTAAAAAACAATTATATTTTTAGGAAAATGGCCACTTGACTGATAAGATCGATCAACTTTAGATTAATTCATTAATCGATAACTTGCATCTCTGCTGCTAAGCTAACTGTGTGCTGTTTGGCTACTAAAATATCCCACCACCTCATCAGTAATGCTCGTGCTGTATAATCTGTATCACACACATACGTTTTTATGTCAACAGTAAAAAGACATACCTACATTTGGAAGCAACTTGTTTTTATTTTGTAGTTGTTGCTTTAACTCATGGTTACAGCTGAATCCTTGCAGGGTATAGTTGGCAACCAGAGGCGATTGCTCTAAGACTGCAAGGGAAGCTCAGCTTCCCCTAAAATGTAAAAAAATAAGTGATCACATATACACTGTTGTGTGTTCATGTCATTGACTAAATATGTGCTATAACGCGCTCAACTTTTGTTCAGAATCAGCTTCTTATCACTGGTAACGATGCGGCTTTCCTCTCCCTCATTCCCGCAGCTTCACAGAGCTTTAAACAGTCAGACGCTGAGCTTCTACAGACTTCAATAGTGAGACAAAAAAAAAAAATTCAGCGAAACAAGACGAGTCATTGGATAAATGCTGGGCTTTGTCCCGCCCCCGGACGCTCAGCATCTCTGGGCAAGTAGGGGTCTCTGCGGACGAGTACGTATGAGTGGGCGTTTCACAAGGAAAGGCGACACACCTGATTTGACGGACTTTGTTAAAGGGACACAACTGACTGGACAAGCAAAAAAGGGGGCGATACCGTATG